GGGGAAATCGACAATACTATTCACTTGTGACAGAAGCAAAGAAGAGGAAGGGTGACACAATGGATGTCGATGATGAGTTAGAGTTAGCGAAGAAGGCGAAGATGGAGGTTGATGGGGATGCAGAAAAAGAAGAATGCACTAACTCGGAATATGGGAACGCCGGGCTGCAGGGTCAGCCTGGCGAGTCAAAATGAGAATTTTAGTGTGGAACTGCCGGGGATTGGGGAACGGCCCGGCAGTAAGAGGACTTCTGGATCTCCAGAAGCAGGTGGACCCCGACATCCTTTTCTTATCTGAAACCAAGAGGGATGAGAGGAGGATGGAAAGATTTAAATGGATGTTAGGGATGGGGAACATGGTAGTCAAAGATTGTGAAGGGAAGAGTGGGGGATTGGCGTTGCTATGGAAAAAAGAAGTAAATCTAGAGCTGCACAACTACTCCAGATATCACATTGATGCTATAATAGAGGAAAGAGATGGTTTCAAATGGCGATTTACAGGCATCTATGGAGAACCAGCAAGTGACAAAAGGAAGATAACATGGAGGTTAATGCGCATCCTAAATCAGCAGTTAAACCTCCCATGGTTATGCGCTGGCGATTTTAATGAGATCATGTATAATCATGAGAAGAAAGGGGGGCCAGCTAGAGCACAAAGCCAAATGGAGAATTTTAGAGCAGCTCTAGCAGACTGTGGATTGACAGATTTGGGCTATGTGGGGGACAAATACACATGGCGCAATCAGAGTTGGGATGTTAAACGCTTTGTTAAAGAAAGATTGGATAGAGCAGTGGGGACGAAGAGCTGGTGCACAAGATTCCCTTACTTCAAAGTTTTAAATGGGGACCCATACCACTCAGATCACAGACCAGTAACCATCCAAATAGAAGAATCTGAGAGTTCACATATGCCCAGGAGAAGGATTCGCAGCTTCAGGTTTGAAGCTAGATGGTTACAAGAAGAGGAATGTGAGTTTTTGGTTAATAATGCTTGGGCTAAAGCTAGCATACAAGGGGAACATAATACCCAGGGGATGTTACGCATGGTAGCAAGAGAGTTAAAGGACTGGGATGCTAATGTTTTAGGCGATCTCCAAAAGCGTATTAAAACCCTTAAGAAAGAACTGGAGGAGGTACGCAGAGGGGACATCAACCAAGAAGGAGTCAGCAGAGAGCACTTATTAATGGAGAAGCTAGACCGTTTGGAACAGCAGCAAGATACACATTGGAAACAACGAGCCCATATTAAATGGTTGCAAGATGGTGACAAGAACACATCCTTCTTTCATGCTTTTGCCTCCGAAAGAAAGAAAAGGAATACCATTAAGAAACTTAAAAGGGAGGGTGGTAGTTGGGTGGAGGGGCAGGAACATTTGAAAGAGCATATTGCAAACTACTTTTCAAATATATTCTCCTCCACGATGACAGGAGATAATGGGGAAATTATGCGAGTGGTGCAGCCAAAGGTGACGCCAGAGATGAATGACATGCTATGTGCTGAATATACAGAAGAGGAGGTGAAAAGAGCCTTAGGTAGCATCGGTGACTTAAAAGCTCCAGGACCTGATGGTATGCCAGCCATTTTCTTTAAAAGGTTTTGGAAAACAGTGGGGAACCAGATCACTAAAGAAGTTCTGCATATATTGAGAGGAGGAGATATGCCTGAAGGATGGAATGATACCCTAATAGTGCTTATTCCGAAGAACACCAAGCCGATGAGCTTAAAGGATCTAAGACCTATAAGTTTGTGCAATGTGGTATATAAGGTGGTCTCTAAGGCAATCACAAATAGACTCAAGGAAATTCTCCCCCACATTGTCTCCCCTAATCAGAGTGCCTTTGTACCCGGAAGACTAATTTCAGATAATATTCTATTGGCATATGAACTAACACATTTCCTGCAAAGGAAAAGAAGGGGTCCCGTGGGCTATGCGGCCATCAAACTGGACATGAGCAAAGCTTACGACCGCGTTGAATGGAAATTTTTAGAAGATATGATGAAAAGATTGGGTTTTGATAGGAATTGGATCAGACTGATAATGAAGTGTGTCTCAACTGTCAAGTACCAAATCAAGGTGAACCAAGATACAACTGATATGATTACACCCCAAAGAGGACTGCGCCAAGGAGATCCACTTTCCCCTTATTTGTTCGTCATCTGTGCTGAGGGGTTCTCCTCTATGTTATATGAAGCTGAGATGAGGAGATCACTAAAAGGAATCAAGGTATGTAGGGGAGCCCCTAGTGTAAGCCATCTATTCTTTGCGGATGATTCATTACTTCTATTGGAGGCCAATGCTGAAAGTGCTCAGGAAATTAATAGAATTCTAAATCTTTATGAAGCTGCTTCAGGACAAGTGATTAATAAAGATAAATCCTCAATACTATTCAGTGCAAACACAAGGCAAGGGTTGAAGGAAAAAATGAAAAGCATTCTGCAAGTTACCTCTCAAGGTCTATTCCCAAGATATCTTGGTGTTCCATCCTATGTGGGTAAGGCCAAAGCAAGAACCTTTGAGTATGTAAAAGAGAGGGTGTGGAAAAAGATCCAAGGATGGAAGGAAAAACTCCTATCGAAAGGTGGAAAAGAAATCCTCATTAAAGCGGTAGCACAAGCAATCCCGGTGTATTCCATGGCTTGCTTTGATCTAACCAAGACCCTATGTGAAGAGTTGAGCAATATGATAAATAGATACTGGTGGAGCCAAGTGGATAAAGAGAATAAAATACATTGGGCTAGCTGGGAGAAGATGACGAAGACGAAGAAAACAGGAGGCTTGGGATTTAGGGATCTCCATGCCTTCAATCTGGCCATGCTTGCAAGGCAAGCATGGAGGCTCATTCAAAACCCAGCTTCCTTATGTGCGCAGGTCCTGTCAGCAAGATACTATTCAGATGGCTCAGTTCTTCAAGCCAGGCCTAGAAGCGGCATATCCTACACATGGCGCAGTATACTAAAAGGAGTAGATCTGCTCAAGAAAGGGATCATATGGAGAGTAGGCAGTGGTAGCAACATCAATATTTGGTCTGATCCCTGGATTCCAAGAGGAAGTACTAGGAGAGTCATCACACAGAGGGGTGGAAATGTTGTAACTAAAGTAAATGATTTGATTGATCCTACCACAAACAATTGGGATGAAGACTTAGTTAGACAAACCTTTCTCCCTGAAGATGCAAATATTATTCTACAAATCCCAATTCATACACATGAAGATGATTGCATAGCATGGCATTATGATAAAAAAGGTATATTTTCGGTGAAATCAGCTTATAGAGTTGCTGTAGACACCACGGCTCGTGAATCTATTTCAGGACTAACTTCTTCCTCAAGTACAGATGAAGATACATGTGGTTTTAATTGGCCAAAGTTGTGGTCGCTTCCCCTCCCCAACAAGGTTCTTCACTTCTTATGGCGCATGTCCACAAATACCTTACCACTGCGCATGAAGCTCCAGCAAAGAGGTATGCAAGTTGACACCCGTTGTCCAATCTGTTTTCGGTTGGATGAGGATGGTGGCCATTGTTTCATTAAGTGTAAGAGGGTAAAGGATGTGTGGAGGAAAGCTCAGTTGGAGCATGTCAGATTACAAATTCTAGATTGTACTGATGCACTGAGCTGTATGGAGAAAATATTGAACCTCAATGAAGAAGAAAAAATTAAATCATGCCTGCTTCTCTGGCGTTGGTGGCATGAGAGGAATAGAGCAAATGCAGGAAATGAAATTAAACCTTCTGATGAAATATGTCATTCTATTAACTATCTTTTTATGCAATTTTCTAAGGTAAGGCAAGAAGGGAGAATACAAGAGCAACAACAAAAAGAAAGATGGTCCAGACCTCCACCGAAGATCTTGAAAATCAACACTGACGGCGCCTACCTGAAGGAATCAAATTCTGGAGGTTGGGGCTTTGTTATCAGGAACGATTGTGGTATGGTAATAGCAGCTGGTGCAGGAAATTTGGGGCAAGTTTCGAATGCGCTCCATTCGGAGGCAATGGCAATGTTGCATGCCATAAACGCAGCTACTCAGATGGGTTGTCATTGTGTCATAATGGAGACTGACTCTGTGCAACTTCAGTCAGCAGTGAACAATGAAGACTATGATCTCTCTACATTAGGAGCTATTTTCAAAGATATTAAATTTAAGCTGAGAGTAAGCTTCAATCATGTAACTGTTGTGTCTTGTCCTAGAACTTGTAATGTAGTGGCATACTGTTTAGCAGCGTATGGTACTAAACTAGGAGCTGGCATAAGTGAGATTTGGCTTGATGAATGTCCAGACTTTGTAAATGACGCTGTTGCTGGCGACTTGTCCAGCATTGGTTCTTAATGGAATGTTTCGTGTTCTCTTTCAAAAAAAAACACACACCGAAGCTGCAAGTTAGAGAACTTCATCACCAAGGAGCAAGAGATCGAGCGTGGAGTGACGCCTTAGCCTTCCGGTTTCCGGTTGTAGATGCTCTTATCCCGTCGTCATTCCACTTCCGCGGTTCCGGACCCCAACGGCACACAGCGCGCCTTCCCCTCCCCTGTTGCCCTCTAACTGCAGCGCGAGAAGCGGCACGGGCTCCTCCTCCTCGTCGCCGGGTACCAATCCACCAGCGAGAAGCTTCTCCTTCCCCTCCCCCCTTTCATCTTCCTCGTCGCGGAGAGACGAAAGCGGCGGAGGGAGCGTCGGGGTCGGGGTCCCCGTCGGCGGCACCGGCACGCAAGCCTGGTAATCCTCCCTCTCGCTCACTCGAATCTGATGCTCTGATCGAGCATTCGCATCACCGCGACGCAGAAATTCACGGCTAGCTGTAGCAGCACATGCCTGCCCCTGCAATTTGCACCTCTGCAACTGAACCGATGCCCATGGCCCCTTCCGAGATTCCGCGGCACTGCATCTCAGCTTGTGCTCTCGCTTCCACCTTGATACTTACATTTCGATCTCTGTTGATTTAGGGCTCAAATTTCAGCATCGGCGCACCAAGTAGTCGAGATTTCAGAAGAGAGGCTTCATGCAGGTTTGTGGCGTTCAGTTGAGCTCAGCAACATCTCGCTGGCGAGAATCATGGCCGCCATTTCGTGGATCCTTCGAGTGTGCTGGACATAGCTGTTGCATCTCTGGTGAGCCCGATGTCCCATCATGCGTTGCATTATCTCGTGTTTTTCTCTGTGATTAGCCCTCGACCCCTCAAGGATTTGTGGGGCAATACCCTGCTCCAGTTTCAGGTCATTTGTGCTGAATCTTAAATTTCTTATTGTAGGGATTCAAAGACCGTTATGTAGAGTACAATGCTGTCAGGTGCCACGTTCTACTAGAAATGTAGCTCATCTTCAGAAGGAGGTACTCCAGAATGCACTAGATGCTAAATATAGTTGAATATCAGTCACTGTGGTGTTTGATTTTAGTTGATATCATTAGCAAAAAATAATGTGAAGTGTTGCATTTGTATGTCCTATGTTTTATGTCATGTTGAATGCTATGTATGAACGAACCATTCTGAATCGAAGGACAAAAACAAACAGTGTTTCTTCTCTATGATGTAGTCCTCTCAAGCAGTGTTTATTTTCTGAATCTTCTCATAAGTGTCAGGCATAACATGTTAACCCACTGATAGTATGGACTACTAACATTTTCTTTTATAATCTATTTCAGGACAAATATTCTTGTGTTGATAGGTCAACTTCTTACCTGCACGTGCAAACTCTTAGGAATTTCCCAATTGAAAAACTTTATGGAGAGGTGGTCCTGGTGCGACTTGATTCTGTAATTCTTTTAGATCCTCTAGGACTATTTAGTTGCTCACTGAAAAAGACACTGTCAACTATCAAATACCTGTACAAAGCAGGAGGGAAAGTTCTTCTAGTTACCAGTTGGGATCCAGTCCTCCAATCTGTTAATCCAGTGCTCAAGTCAACCGAATCTTTTGCAGGTTATTTGAAATTCATATTCTAATACGCTTATGCCAAACTTTATACTGATAAGTTTTTAGATATGGATGCACTCTAGGACCCAAAAACAGCTGTTCAGTTTGCAACAGATTGATTCTAACGTCAGTAAGCCAAGGCATCTGACAAAGATTACATGTTTGAACCCAAACCTGTAAATATTATTTTATTTGTAAACCAAAAGTATCTGTACTATTGGAGAAACCGAGTAATAATGCTATTTAGCACCCATGCACTAAATGTCTGGACAACTGCATTTCTCCCTTGTATCTTTTCTCATACTGTTTATGACACTATACTGGCTTAATTTTGTCATGCATTCTGAATCACATATTTTAAATGCAGCTAACTTATCCAGAATAGCTTCTTTTGTTCATTCTTGATAACTGAAAATAATCTGTCATAAATGCTGATCGTCAGACTACATGTCATCGCTTCTTCAAGTAAAGGTCATCCCAGTGAATGGTGCACCTTGTTTAACATCATGTAAGAAGGAAGAACGGGTGCAGAATGATATTATCTTGTTTGAAAATCTTTTGAACTTCAGGGGAGAAAATGCAAACTGCAATGATTTTTCTCAGAAGCTAGCTTCAGGTGCAGCAATCTTTGTCAATGATTCTTTCTCATTATCTCATAAGATTCGCGCATCAACGGTTGGCATCACTCGTTTCTGCTACGCATCTCTTGCTGGTTTCCATTTTGAGGAGGAGCTTATGCAATTGCTAAAGATCAATGACACCACAAGGCGCCCATACATTGCAATAGTAATCACTGGTCCTTATTTAATTTTCAGTTCATAGTTTATACATACCTACAGAAACTATTTACAAGGTTGGACTTGTTCAATTCCTGTTTACTAGCATTAGCTCTAGCAATTTTTTATTTTTTTTTGAGGAATCACCGGGGGGGAGAGGATCCCCACCTGAATTATATTACTCAAAGCTCAGCGAAAGCCGAGGAGAGGGTTTACAGGGTTACGGCAAGCCGTGAGGAGAGGTATGTCAGCCAGGATGTGGCTGAAACCTTATCTACCGGTACATGGAACCGGTTGGTCCAAAGAGCAAAGTCATTACAAATGTTGGATATTGTTCAATTTCTTGCTCTAGCAATTAACGTGTTCAGTCTCGATTTGTCCTTTGTTTTTATTGTCAAGTAAATATGCGGTTTAGTTTTGGTTCTGTCAGAAAAAGGGTACATCTATATAATGAATATATGTTGATTCTACAAAGCGACATGCATTTTGATGTGTGTTCGAGAAAAAAATGTTGAATCTTATCATCCACATTGAATAGCAAAGCTAATCATTCTTTGATGCCATGACTTGTTAAACACACACACCACACCAACCATTTCTGTTTTTACTATTCTTTATAATGATCAGACTGGGAGGTTGGAATTATCTTGGCCAGCATCCGTATGTATAAACATGTAGCTTAGCTTGCCTATCCAACGGCGGATGATTAGAGCTGCACTTCTGATCTTGTTTTATGCCATAATGGAGCAAAAAGCTTGGTGCTATGTCAAAATCTGGATGGCGCAAGCTAATAGTTGCTTTCCCTATTTCTCGAGTTTTACGGAAGGACTATTTCCTCTATGTATTGTCCTGTTATGTTCATGGTAGATAACAGGCAAGTTTAGAGGGTTTTCTAACATGGTCACTTCAATTGGTGGTCGAGAATATTGCACTCATGGTGTTTAATAATTAATCACAATTGGTAATCATGCAGAAATGATCCTTGTTCCTAGCAAGTGTATTCCGTTAACTATCTGCAAGCAGGATTAGTACTTTCTACTAGGAACTATTTAATGAGGATCTTTATTTTATTTAGCCATGTTGATTTCTTGTTGATATTTTTCTGTTTATTGCAGATTGGAGGCAGTAACTTCTTGAGAAAGGCACCTGCACTGCATCTGTTAGCCTCTCAATGCGATGGGTTGTTTTTTGTTGGAAAATTATCATTTCAAATAATGAATGGCCTTGGAATTCCAGTGTCCTCCTGTTTGATAGAAAAAAATGCTACCAAGGAAGTGTTACAACTTATTGAAATAGCTCATAATAGGAACATTCCTATTTATTATCCAACAGACCTGTGGTGTTTGAACAGCAACAATAATGAACAACTGGAAATATTTGACTCAGCTGAACTGTTGTCTGGTGAGTATGACTGGGCTTTATTTCCTTGTTTATTTATGTATTTTTGTTCATGTGGTTCCTATTACTCGTGCCATATTCATTGGCAATGGCAACACTAATCATTCTTTAGAATTAACATCCTGTTTGCAATACGGCTCTAATTCTTTTTTTGAGCAACTTACTGTCAGAGTATAAGTCTAGCAAATACTAC